TTTGCTGCTTTCTCAGGTACTCTTTGCTGCCACGACTTAGACCAATGCCCAGATGTAATGCCTGCTTGCAGACAGTGGTTTTGTTAACCTGTTGCACCACATCTGCCAGCCTTTATCTTAACAATACTGAGCCTGCTACTTGTTTTACATATACCATATATTCATTTATGTTTTACATATTTCTAATTTGCATTTTTCTAATACTGTTTCCTGTGTTTAATTCCCCTTTGTTATTTGATGTTTTCAGTGTTACTGTAAAATTTTCCCATTCTCTGATTATTCACAGAATATAGAATACCCTTGATTTTTACTAATTCACCTTAACATTTACCTTACTTATGATTTTCCAACTTTTACTTACTTACTATTTCTTCTAAGGGTGGAGAAATCTGCATGATGAATCTCAGATTTGACTAAATTATAATGTTGAACCTATGTGTGAAGGAAATATCTTCAGCGTTGTCCCAATCTTGGAGGGATGTGTTGTCTTTAACCATTAATTATTATATCAGTTGAGATTTTTTTTAGATGCTCATTATAAGATTAAGGAAGATCCCTTTTATTCCCTGCTTACTAAGATTTTGTCGTGAATATTTAGTTTACTCCTGCTATTTTTATATCTGAGCTTTATCTTATAGGTTCTTTCCCCTTCGTTGTGTTAGGATGGTAAATGACATTAATTGATTCCATTAAGAGTTTTGGTACCTGTGCTCATGAGGGACATTGGTCTAGTTTTGTTATTAACAGCTGTGAGATTTTCATATTGGTGTTATTCTGGCTTCATGAAAATAGGTTGGGAAATCTTTCCCTCTTCTATGTTCTGAAAGTAGTTTTATATCACACTAATATTTCTTCCTTAACATCTAATAGAATTCATACGTTAAACCATCTGGACTTGGAGTTTACACAGATTTTAAAACTAGCAGGTCGACACCCACACCACTGTCAACTCTGTTTGCAGATTTGTGTCATTTCCTTTCATTCTTCCTGCAGATTTGTGTTCTGTCTCAAGGGGTTAGTGGAAAAGATCCACAGAGTGATCACTCCAGTGCCCTGCTGTTTCTCTGCCTTGCTTTGCAGCTTGTGACTACTCTTTTTTATTTTTTTAAGGTTTATTTCTTTTATTGGAAAGTCAGATATACGGAGAGGAAGATCTTCTGTCCATTGATTCACTCCCCAAGTGAGCACAACAGCTGGAGCTGAGCCAATCCGAGTTAAGAGCAGGAGCTTCTTCCGGGTCTCCCATGCGGGTGCAGGGTCCCAAGGCTTTGATCCATCCTCCTCTGATTTCCCAGGACACAGGCAGGGAGCTGGATGGGAAGTGGAGCAGCTAGAACAAGAATTGTCATCCTTAAGGGATCCAGACACATGCAACTGACACTTATTGTATCAGTTTTGGTAATTTATGTCTTTCAAGAAATCTGTGCTTTCCGCAAATTGTAATCAGTGAATTTTTATCTTTTAACTACCTGAGAGTGTTCTATATTGGAATAATGAAAACCTTTTTAGACTGTGACCCTTGATGTGTCACCATCACTTTCCTTGGTTCTATACTTATTACAATCATATTTTTAACATCATGAATTCTTATGTATATTCCTAATTATGATCTTAACACCACAGGGTTCTAGATTTCTTCCTTTCCTTATTAATAATTCTATTTTTGAATAAGAGAACCCCAATTTGAGTTTTTCTTTTCAACACTTTTGAAATATTGTTCCTTTGTCTTCCAGTCTACACTGTTTATAATGAAATTTCTGCCATAATTTACATTGTTACTTCTAAATGCATACCTTCCCTTGTTTCCCCTTTTTTTTACTTGTGTCTTTGTCTCAATTGCTGATAATTATCAGTCTTGACTGTGCTGTGCCTATATGTTGTCTTCTTTGCATTTAATCTGCACAGTATTTGAGATCTGACATCAGAAAGACAAAGTTTGTTTTCTACTAAATTTGGCAAGTTTTTGGTCACTTTGCTTCATTTTAGGGTTTTTTCTTGATACATTTCTCTCTATTTTCTCATTGTCATATCTTTATTTTGGCACAGTTTGCTTGGAGACTTTAAGCACTAATAGTCATTGTAGAAATCTCAGACTAGTTATCTTTTTGTTTTGCTTTAAATTCATTTTATTTTTATTGCAAAGTCAGATATACAGAGAGGAGGAGAGACAGAGAGGAAGATCTTCTGTCCGTTGATCCACTCCCCAAGTGACTGCAATGGCCAGTGCTGAGTGGGAAGTGGAGCAGCCGGGATTAGAACCATTGCTGATATGGGATCCCAAGGTGTTCAAGGCCGCTAGGCCACCATGCCGGGCCCTTGTTTTGTTTTTTAATTCCATTTCTTTGAGTCCCGTTTAACTGCTACTTTTCATGTCTAGAAATTTTTGATAGTATGGTAGACATAATGATACATAACAATTTCCAAAATTCCTTACTCTGATTAAGTTACTTGCTGATCATTGTGATCTTGTGGAGGCTTGGTTTTAGATTTCTAAGTTTGGGGTCCGGCGCGGTGGCCTAGCAGCTAAAGTCCTCGCCTTGAACGCTGTTGGCTATTGGTTTGAATTCCTACTGTTCCTCTTCCAGTCCAGCTTGTTAGTAATGGCTTGGGAAAGCAGCAGAGAATGGCTCAAGTCCTTTGGTCCCTACACCCAAATGAGAGACCTGGAAGAGGTTCCTGGCTCCTGGCTTCAGATCAGCTCAACTCCAGCCATTGTGGCTAAACATTTAGGAAGTGAACCAGCAGATGGAAGATCTTAGTCTCTGTTTCCTCTCTTTAACTCTGCCTTTCAAATGAAAGAAATGAAACAAATCCTTAAAAAAAAAGAAGAAGAAGAAAGAAAGAAAGATTGATTGAATCAGCCAGTGTCCAAGAAAAAATGTGGATAACCTCATCTAGCAGTATGAGCAATAGCTTTATTAAAAAAAAAAAAATTAAAAATAATAAATTTGTGGGCTCTCCAGGGATGAGACCTAGCCATTTGTGTTTTCCCAAGGTCTCCGGATGATTATGATACTAAAGTATCAGAATAATGATTTTTAAAAGAGATTTATCTATTTTTGTTGGAAAGGTAGATCAGATTTACAGAGAGCAGGAGATACTGAGAGAAAGATCTTCTGTCTGCTGGTTCAAGCATCTGCAAAAGCTGGAGCTGAGCCAATCGGAAACCAGGAGCCAGGCCCCTCTTTTGCATCTCCCTCGTGGGTACAGGGTCCTAAGGCTTGGGCCATCCTCTACTGCTCTCCCAGGTGACAAAGCAGGGAACTGGATGGAGCAGCCAGGACATGAACTGGCACCCATGTGGAATTCCAAAGTTTGTAAAGTAAGGATTCAGCCATTGAGCTATCCCACTGGGCCTGAGTATCATAATATAAACCATCAATGAAAATTTGCAACAAGTAGAGAATATTTTATCAATATTTTGGCCAATTGGTAATGAATGAATATCATATACTCCTTGTTTTAAAATCCATTTCCTATACTTGTTCTATTCTAATTCATCTCCTGGATATAGATAAAATTAAAGGATTGCTTAAAGATCTGAAAAGGTGTGTGTGTGTGTGTTAATGTTCTCTCAGTGTTGGTTTATCCTGTTTTTCTTAATGTTTAAAAAAGTTTACCATAGTTCTATAATAAAAAAATATTTTGAAAAGTGTTACTTTTGGTTTTAGAATCATTTTCATCTGAATACTTAAGCTTTTCCATTGTGTTGAAAACATTTTCTCTCTCTATAATGGGGTCTTATTAGTTTTGAAGGTCTTTTTTTAATATTATTATTTAATGTTTCTTTTTTCTGATTTTTAAAGAGATTAATTTATTTGAAAGAGCTACAGAGAAAGGGAGAGAAAGAGAGACCTTCCATCCACTGGTTCACTCCCCAGATAGCTGCAACAACAATAACTATGCCAGATGGAAGCCAGGGACACAATCTCTTGAGTCTCCCACGTGGGTGTAAAGCCCTAAGGATTTGGGCCATCTTCCACTGCTTTCCCAGGTACACTAGCAGGAAACTGAGTCCAAAGTGGAGAACTTGTACCTATGTAGAATGCTTACACTGCAGATAACAACTTTTACCCATTATGCCACAGTGCCAGCACCAGTTTTGAAGGTTTAAATGGCAAAATAACAAAGTAAAACTTCTCTCAGAACAATAGTTCTTGTGTTAGTCTCAACCCTGCTTCTGATACCAGCTTGCCACTAATGCAGTCCTGGGATGTGATAGTTCAAATACTTGAGTCCCTGCCACCCACTTTGGAGACCCTGCTAAGTTCCAGTTTCCCAACTTCACCTGTGCCAGCCCCAAGCACATCATTGGGCATTTAGGATAGTGACCCAGCTGATGAAAACCATCTCTGTCTTTTTGTTTTGCCTCTCTCTTTCAAATGGCATGAAGATCAACAAATTAAAAAGATGGCTTTAGGCCTAGCACGGTGACCTAATGGCTAGGGTCCTCACCTTGCACACCCTGGGATCCCATGTGGGCACTGGTTCTGATCCTGGCAGCCCCTTTTCCCATCTAGCTCCCTGCTTGCAGCCTGGGAAAGCAGTTGAGGATGGCCCAAGGCCCTGGGACCCCGTACCCACATGGGAGACCCAGAAGAGGCTCCTGGCTCCTGGCTCTGGATCGGCACAGCTCCGGCCGTTGCAGCCACTTGGGGAGTGATTCAACGGACTGAAAATCTTCCTCTCTGTATATCTGACTTTGTAATAAAAATAAAGTAAATCTTTTAAAAAGATGACTTTAAAAAGTTAATAAATTTTCCTTGTAAGTTGCTACATACCAACATCATAGTTTCCATGTACACAACAAAACCACTACTGTTCATGTACTTGTCTGAGGACTATAGTCCCTGCCCGCCTGCTGATCCCCAGTCCCATAAATTTAGGATTTACAGGTAGAATCTCTGTATTGATTTTGTGAAATAGTGCAGAATTTGAAAACTGTATGTAGCGGTATTTCAGTATCTAACCAACCTGTTCCTAAAAAAATTCTTTTATAGACTTACAATAGCTGTGCCAGACTCTGCTTAAACCAAGAAACAGTATGTCTCGCAAGCACCGCTATGAAGACTGAAAATTGTGTGGCCAAGGTAAGTGGAATTATTCATTAGCATACATAACACTACATCGTAGCAATTCTGTGTCATAAGTATCTTTTCTCAGTATTTCTATACAGACTATTATAAGATTATGCATTTAAGAAAAGAATGCAAACAGGCACCATTTTATCCTGAGCAGATTGCAAGTTGAATGTCTGTTTCTTCAGGTGCAGCAGAATCTTCTGATTATATATCTTTTCACACTTGACTGATTCACATTTGTTCTTTGACATTGGTTATAGATTATTACAGATCAATAAGACTTATATGACGTTATACACAATTATTGTTATAAGCTCCTAATTCTCCTAATGAATGATGTACACCAATGCAACTGTGATATATGTCATAGAAAACCCAATTGTTTTATCACTTTTGTTTAGTGAGTTAATTAATTAATGAGTTCCTAAGATTGCTTTCAATGATCTTGATCTAAGTAGACAAGTATGTTTAACATGCATGCATGCTATCTCTTTCACATATAAATATTTTGCAATGTCCGTAGCTTGGCTACAGAAGCAACCTCAGGTATGAAGAAAGTGAAGTTTTTCATCCCAGCCATCATTCAATTTTACAAGTATCTGCTTACTCAGAACTTCAAGTTTCAGCCGTTTTGATGTGGGCTGCTGTGTTTCTAGAATTTTACTTTACTTATCTGCATAAGGTTTGCCATTATAACCGTTCAGACATTTAGTCCAAGGCTTTACTGATCCTCAGTTACTTAACTGACCTCATCCTTTGCTGCAAAAATCCAGGGGTAGTTTTTTTCTTTTCTATTTATTTTTAAGGTCAGATTTACTGAAAGAGAGAATGAGAGAGATGTACCATGTGCTGATTTACTCCCCAAATGGCTGCTCTGGCCAGTATGGGGATAGTCTGAAGCTGAGAGCCAGGAGCTTCTTCCAGGTATCCCACAAGGATGCAGGGGCTCAAAAACTTGGACCATTGTCCTCTGCTTTCCCAGGCAGTTGTCAGAGAGCTGGATCGTAAGTGGAGCAGTCAGGGTAGAAGCCAACACCCATATGAGATACTGGTGCCACAGGTGGAGGTTTGCTATGAGGCACTGCCGTACTGGGCCCCATAGATGATTGCCTTAGTCCATTGGGCAAGTTATAACAAGAATACCATAAACTGAATGGCTAAGAAACATTACAAAATTATTTCCTGTAGTTCTGGAAACTGGGAAGTTTAAGATTAAGATGTAAGCAAATTTGTTGTCTTGTCCTACTCTGCTTTCAAGACAATGCCTGCTTAAATCTTCACGCAATAAATGGAAAGAACTAGCCAGCTCTCTGGGATCTCTTTCTTAAAAGAGTATTAAACCTGTTTCTGAAGGCTTAACCCTCAAGAGTTTTTAGAGATAATAAACATAGCAGCAACAGTATTTTGCCTCTGAAATCTGGGCCTACTTAGCAACTATATATATATATATATATATATATATATACACACATATATATATATTCATTGGAATGACCTACATAATAAACATCATATTCTAGTAATAATTATAGTTGAAAAGGTAAAGTTCAGTTAAATTCAGTGTCTCGATAATTAGCTTCAAAATATAAATATTTTAAATTACATCACATTTATTTTTCAAGTCATTCAGCCACAACTAGCAAGCGGTGGAGGCTGCAGTACTATTGGCCTTTAAGAATAAGTGCTCTCCTTTATCGGCCACATTGCTCTCAGTTGTGTCACAAGTGGGTGACTTCTGGCTAAACAACACAAAAATCTTAGCCTGAGCACCAATCCAAGGACAGGGTGACAATTTTAATGAATTTCATTGAGAGCTGGCCAAATGAGCATCTGTTCCTTTTGTTTTCTCTGTACTTTGTCAGCCAGGATTTCCACGCTGCATCATTGGTGTGAATCTGCATGTTGTGGGGTTGGTTGGTTTGTTTGTTCTCCCATCCTCTGCTAAAGCAGTGCATAGTTAGAAATCTTCTGGCATCTGGCACAGTGGCATGATTTCTTCCATGCTCTTGGGTGAGGAAATAAGTTTGCTCATTGCTGCTCATCTGTCTGTTTCACTTCTCCCAGATGGTGACCCTCTCATCCCATTCTTGCTGATTTTAACCTTTATTATTGAATACTATTTGTGTGAGGTTTAGGAAAGGCATTAATGCCAACTATTTCCTTAAAAGCAGCGGTGTTGTTAGGATCAGACTCTTATCTGGCATTGTTTGACTTCCTTGCTGGAAGTACCTTAGGCTAGTACTCGTTAGTCCCCTGTAATATAAAGTAACAAAGCTGTAAGACAAGCAAAAGCCATGATTTTCTGAATCTTTACATTGAGGAGAAAATCTTTTTTTTTTTTTTCTTAGTTGAAGAGAAAATCTTGAAATTGAAAAAGAATAGCTTAGGGGTGGGGAGGGTGGGAGGAGACAGGGAAGGCCCTGTTCATTTTCAGTATGACTTAATTCAACTTGAAGGTATTGAAATGTCTTTTACTTTTTCAAACGCTTTCTTCTAATTATAGCCTTTAGCTCATGAGATTGTTTTGGGAACCTGATGAGCTCTATATTTATTGTAGCTTTAAATGGACGGTCGTTATTGACTGTCAACTTGGTCTTCAAAATCTATAATGATGTTGTGCCTAATTATCATTCTTCATGATATTTTTCACTTGTAGAGAAAACTAATATTAAAATTTAAAGAGCATTAATTTTTGATTCTTTCTATTAAATGTCTAGAAATATATAGAAAATTTCTGTCTTAGACTTTTCCTTAATTGCACTTACAGATTTACAAACATGAGTAAACAAGTAAAGTTTAAAATTAAATTGGCTGAATCCATCCATTTGAATGCCTATATTTCTGCTCACATAAAGTAGAATGCTTATAGGTGCTTTGATCTTAGCTGTTCTTGCTTGTTGGTATTTTTTTGATTGGTTGGTTGGTTGGGGTTTTTGCTTCGAACTAAGACTGATAATCTGAAACTGACTGAGACAGAAAAATGGTGTTCCTTTCCACTCACTCCAGATTTTGATAGAAGACTTGTTTTATTTATTTCCAAAATTATATCCGCAGGAAACAAGCTGTTTAAATTCAGATTATGCTGAAGCAAAATGGTCCTGGTATGAGAAGCAACGTGCTGTTTTACGAGCACAGAGTCCCTTTTCTCATAACTGATTGATAGTAAATATTTTCCTGAAGAATTATTGCCAACCATGAACAGTGCAACTGTTTCACTTTTTTTCCATGCTACTTGCTGTACCAGCCATTGTCGGTAATTAAGATCTACAATTCACAATGCAGACGTTTGCACTTCCTCTGGGTCTGCGCTATTTATAAGGCATCTCAGCTGTTCCGAGTTTCTTTTGAGTTTTAAACTACATGTTAACAGGCTTCTTTAATATACGGTTCCACAAGTAGCATGTTGGATGGCCCATTCCTTATATGGGCGTCTCTGTCAGCTCTACCCATGAGCTCTGTGGAGAACACACACAGATTGAACAGCTTCATTGAGGCTAAGGATCAGAGAGACTGTTTCACAGTGGCCAGACTGCTATTCCAGAAAGCAGGAGCGGAGCTCAGAAGTAAAAATTTTTGCTTTCATCTTTATTTTCCTGAATGTAACTTGAAAGAGGTCACTTTGAGTTCCTAAGCAAAGCAAGGTCGCTTCTTCCAGACAGGACTGCATGCTTGACAGGTTAAATATGTAAAATGCATTCTCTGCTATGTGTGCATGATGTTTAGAATCCAGACACACAGCCAGCACTGGGGCCCAATGGGGTTAGCCCAACTTGAGATGCCAAAAGGCATCAACATACCTAACTTCACAATTGTATAATCGGCTTTAGGAACCATAAGTATCTGTGCTACAGTGGGTAAAATTCAAATCATTTTCAACCCAAAATCGAAGTCTAGGCCTCAGCCTCCAGTCTTCATGAACTGTGTCCTAGAGTCAGTATAACTGCTTGCACGATCTGTTTGCTGCTGGCACTCATTGTTAAGCATACAAGAAAAAGAAGCAAGAAACTGAAAGCTGTCGACAAAATATGTTTAAAACTGCCCCAAGTGGGAATCGGATTGGCTGCTTCAAAGCCTCAAGTCCAACCACATTGATTGTGCACTTTGGCCGCCAGCATCTTCCATCGGAGCGATATGCACAGAGGCAGGAAACGCGTTTCAGTGCTGATGCTCGATGGCCCTTGAATACACAAAGAGCCTCTAACAAAGCCATTGCAAGGCAGTTTTATTTGCCAAAACCTAAAAGTTTCTGTAGTTCCAAAGGCATGGCATGTGGACTTTCTTCCTCAGTGAACTCTTTGTGAACCTTTTTTTTAATTTTTTTTTTTTTGGTCCTTTATTGCAGCAGTGCTTCAGTTTTGGGAAACACTGATCTATCTGACTGAGGCACTTCAAGATGCTAGAACCTCTCCATGTTGCTGTCTAGCCAGGGAGCTAATAAGATCAGGTTTGTCTTTGTAAAAACTGATCTAGCTCAGTGAGATGAACCCGGGCAACGTCTTCCTCAGTGTGAAAAGAAAGGTTGGGGGAAAGGGAGGTGAAACAAGAAAGTTCTTCATCAGGAATTGACTGCAGTATTGCCTGCTGATGCATGTCGGATCACCCGCACAGAGAGATCACATGGCTCCTCCAAAAGTCAAACGATCAATTCGCCTCGTTTTGGCTCTGTACTTAATGCACAAACAGTGCGATCTGCGGGGCTGTAATTGCATTGTTAGGGCCAAGGAACAAGCCTGTGCCTTTTCAGCAGACAGCTGGCAGGGAGAGAGGCATGTTGTTAGGAAAGAGAGAGGCAAGGCAAATAAAATTACTGCTAACGCTCAGAGATCGGCAGGAGTCCTACTTGCCTAATCTTACCGGTGGGAGCAAGCGGCTGTTGTAATCCAATTATAGCAGCATAAGCAATTTGTTAGACACTCCGCATAATGTAACAATTTCCCAATAAACTCTGACTTGTAATAACGTCGGCAAGAGTCCGCATAAATCTGCCCGAATGGTGGGGGCTGCAGCGT